GGGAATTCCTTGTTTTCTGTCTTTCATAAAAGCACACCAGTAATTTATCTTTCCCAATTTCCAATTGTGGAATCTTCAAAGGGGAACAAGAACTTAAAGACAAATATAAAGCAATTTGAGTGCAGAATTCTTTTAGATTTTTTAAATTTCTCTCCAAATGTTCTATAGTTTCCTTCACCCTAATTCAACAACAGTTTTAAAGCTATCATATTAGTTTCCCATTGCTGCTGCACAAAATTACCACAAACTTAGTGATTTAAAACAAGACAGATTTCTCTCTCACAGTTCTGGAGAGCATAAGTCTGAAATGGGTCTCTTTGGATTAAAATCAAGGTGTCAGCAGGGCTCTATTCCTTTCTAGAGGCTGTGGGGTAGAATTCATCTTTTGTGGCCTTTCTAGCTGTCAGAAGCTGCCTGCAAGGTTTGGCTTATGGCCCCCCTTCCATCATCCAAGCCAGCAATGGCCCACTGACTCCTTCTCTCATTGCATCACCCTGACTGACTCCAAGGTCTGCCACTTTAAAGACTCTTGTAATTATACTGGGCCCTTCCAGATAATCCAGGGTTGTCTCCCCATCTCAAGGTCAGCTGAATAAGGATGCTAATTTCACTTGCAACCCTGTGTTATCTGGTAGCATGTAACACAGAATACTCACAGGTCATGGGGATCAGGGCATGGACATTTTGAGAGGGATCATTTTTCTGCTACTACATCTATTTTAAGCTATTGCTGAACATACAATTTATTTTTAGCAGATGAGACAACTCTCTTTTCATGGTTATATTTCATTCATTTATATAAAGGTAATTAAATATACTAACTATAACCACAAATGCAACTAACATTTATAGAGTTAGAAACAAATAAAATTGATTTAGGAAAGCAAAATCTCAGCTGATAAGTGAAGCGTTTATAATTTGTTGCCTTATCCAATATTGTTCCTCACTAACAGGTTCCCAAATTTATTTGGGATCTAATGTAGCCAACTCTGGGCAATTAATCATTTTAATTCAGTTACAATCCTGTTCCCAGTTTCATAGCCTTCCTTAAAGCTAATACTTGACCCCAAGAAGACACAGTTTTGCCCAATGTAACCTAAGGGAAGTCTCTGGAAGAGGCTTCTGGAGAATCTTTAGCTTTTCTAATAGAAACTCCTCCCAAACCAAAAACAAAACAAAACAAAACAAGAACAGCAACAACAAAAACAACCCACCATGTGATTGGTAGTACCCTTACCCTCTTCCCCTCCTGTTTTTTCCCTTCCATAATGAGAAGAATATGGACATGATGGCTGGGGTTTCTGCAGGTTTTTTTTTTTTTGACACAAAGGAGAGGCCAATGCAATCGTGTTTTTGACAGTGGCATTTTAAGTTATTAAACTGTTACTGTCTAGCTCTGACTTCTTGTAAAGTGAGAAAAACAATTCCCTGGGGCTTTCTGAGTCTTACAGCCAAACATATTCCTAATTGATCTGATGGCTGCAGAAGTGCATGGACACACTGGAGATCTGCCTACTCGCTATGACTATTCGACTGTTAGGAGCATCATTCAGTATATATGACAGAGGGATTGGAATGCAGGAGTCTGTCAGGCAACTTGGTTAGATGGAGGTCACTTAAGGAACTGTCTAGTGTTCACTGAAGGTCTCCTCACAAAATCATATATAGCACAGCTGCCTCTCATGTCAAGATTTTACATGAATGGCTGGAAAATGTCATTTTGGTCTAGTTAAATGCCAGTGTTCAAAACAGAGTAGTATGTGTGTTTTGATTAAGTACAGCCTTTGTTAAGACCTCTAGATGTCTTAAAAGGTAGAGAGGTCCACCTCTCTAATCTCACCTCCTGCCACATCCCTGGCTCTTCATTCAACGGCCTGGAAGTTCTGAAACTGTATGTTGTCTCCAAAATACCCCCTGCTGGTTCATAATTCTATCCCTTCAGATGTATTGTTCTCTCTACCCAGAATGCCCCTCCTTCCCTTGACAATGTGGAAAATTCTTATTTATTCTTTCAAACACTTTTTAGGTATACCTCCTCTGTGAAGCCCTTCCTCATCCCAAGATCCAGACATCATCAGTCCTTCTCCCCATGGAGTGACTCAGTTAATCACCACTGAGCTACCTTCCAACCTAAGATATCCTTTTACCGTTGCCTTTGCACAAACCTCTTCAAATGCCTGTCCCTACTTCTGAAGAGTTGGGATCATGTCTGGTTCATTTATATTTGTAACTCTAGCATCTAACACAGTTCCTGGTATACAGTGGTCCCTCAATACATTTTTAATTTGATTTATTTTTTTAATTGACCTATAGTTTACAATGTTGTGTTAATTTCTAGTGTACAGCATAGTGTTTCAGTTATATATACGTATCTTCCTTTTCATATTCTTTTTCATTATAGCATATTACAAGATATGGAATATAGTTTCCTGTGTTGTACAGTAGAAACTTGTTGTCTACCTATTTTATACATAGTAGTGTGTATCTGCAAATCCCAATCTCCCAATGTGTCCCTCCACCCCATCCTTCCCCGCTGGTAACCATAAGTTTGTTTTCTATGTCTGTGAGTCTGTTTCTGTTTTGTAAATAAGTTCATTTGTGTGATTTTTTTAGATTCCACATGTAAGTGATATCATATGATAATTTTCTTTCTCTTTCTGACTTTTTTCAGTTAGTGTGATAGTCTCCAGGTCTGTCCATGTTGCTGAACTCTCCTGCACTGTTGGTGGGAATATAGTTTGCTGCATCCATTATGAAAAACAGTGTGGAGTTTCCTTAAAAAACTAAAAACAGACTTAGCATATGATCCAGCAGTCCCACTCCTGTGCATATATCTGGAGGAAACTCTAATTTGAAAAGATACATGCACCCCAATATTCATAGAAGCACTCTATCCAAAACCAAGATGTGGAAGCAACCTAAATGTCCAGCAACAGATGATTGGATAAAAAAGCTGTGGTATGTATATACACATATATACACACAATGGAATACTCCTCAGCCATAAAAAAGAATAGAATATTGCCTCAATACATTTTTAAACTACATTAACCCTTCCTCCCTTTTTTCTTTTTAAATTTTTTAATAGCAAGGAAGTACAGTATTACAGGGCTTATGCTGAAGTGAATCTGCTTGATTTGAACCTGGCTGGGCTACTCACAAGTTTAGTGAGCTTGGGAAAGTTACTTGAGCTTTCTAACTTTAGTTGTCTCACCTGCATATTGAGGACTAAAGTAATCTGCTCCATAGAGATATTAGGAGGCTACAGAAGGTAATTCATGATTATATGTGCATGTGAAGCACAATGACAGTCACACAGTGTGTTAATGATTATTCATGTACTGTCTTCCTATAAGGTACTGAGTTTCACTTATCTTTCTTCCCTAGGACATCTCTTACATTTTCTGGTCATCTTTAGGGGAGCTTGAAGGAATCATACATTCGGTGAATGTCAATGTTTACCCCAAATCACAAAGCAAGTGACTATGAAAATGGTGATAGCAATTAGTGAACATTTTTATGAGTCAGAGATCTTGCTAAGAGGTTTATGTGGATGATTTTATCTAGTTCTCATTTAAGGACAGAGGGAGTTGGCTCAGAGCAATTTGATAATTTGCTCCATGTTAGTCACAGGGCATGGGATGATGTAGCTGGGATGAGAACCCAGAGCTCAGTTGGGTGCTCTTTCTTAGGGGCATAAAACTGCCCCTTCATTCCCACTCACATCCCATCCTCCTACTTCTGAACTATGTCATACTTTATAGCTCCTACTTCAGCATGAGATACATAAAAGATGATAAATAAATTCATGTTGACTGATTGATCAACTAATGCCTCTCCATCACTCACAAGCTTTTATCGACACCTTGTTTTAAACTATTTATGTTTTTCGTAGAAACTATATTTCTCACACATTTGGAAACAACATAAATTCAGTAAGTTGGATATTAGAATGGAAAATGGTATTCAAAATGATGTTGACAAAAGCCCCATTGTAACATGGCAAATATTATTTAAAACATTTTCATTGACAATAAAACCCTAGGTTTAAAATTGTGGATATAAGATGATCTGAACTAACTTAAATTGCACTACCGCGCTAAAAGTTATTGATTCTGGGTGGTGGGGTTACAGTGATTATTCTTTTTCTTGTTTTATATGTATATAAACTGGTTATCATTTTATAACCAGTAGAAAGCACTTTTTAAAGAGGTATGCAGGAAGCAAATAGTCAATATGAAATTCTAATAATGTCCAAAAAATAAAATGGGATCACAGACTCTTATCAATGCTTAATTACAAAGAAAAAAGCTGATTAATTTTATTGATCTCTAGCTAAGTCAGAAAGCTTTAAAATCCTAAAGGCTTTTATAATAGCATAACAGCTGCAGATTTTTAAGACACCTAAAATTAGGCCACATGGAAATGCATGATCCTCAAATCTGGTTTCTGACTATGCATGATTAAAGCCTTCATTTACACTCTTAAAAACGGATTTCTCTAACCAGTTTTCCAAAGAGTTGCTCACCATTTTGCACAGGAAAGATTACAGATCTTGTTAATAGAATACTCAAGAAATTTGGGAACTTTTTCAGCAAGTTGTTTGTATTTCTGTAGTTTTTTAAACCTTTAGGTTAGGACACTTATATAATAGTGTTACGCCCATTTAGCAGATGTACTGAGCTAGAAAAAGAAGAACAATACCAAAGTCAGTTGAAGGAAGGAAATAATAAAGGTCAGAACAGAAATAAATAACGTAAAGCCTAAAAAGACAATAGAAAAGATCAATGAAATTAAGATCTGATTACTGACATAGAATACAAACTTGTGGTTGCCAAGGGGGTGGAGAGTGGGAAGGGATAGATGGGATTTCAAAACTGCAGAATAGATGAATAAGATTATACTGTATAGCACAGGGAAATATACACAAGATCTTATGGTAGCTCACAGAGAAACAATGTGACAATGAATATATATATGTTCATGTGTAACTGAAAAATTGTGCTCTACCCTGGAGTTTGACACAACATTGTAAAATGATTATAAATCCATAAAAAATGTTAAAAAAGAAAAGCTGATTACTTATCTTTCAGGGAAATTTAAATAACATGTATCAAAGAAGTCTTCTTATCTTATTGAATTTCCTCATACAGACCTTTAATAATTGTTTTAGCATATCAGAAAGAATTTGAGTTTCAGAGATAGGGCAAAATTATGATACTCTACTCTTCATGGAGCCCAGGAATTAAATATACTTATAGAAACAAACAAATAAACAAAAATATACAGTGGCACACATTGCTTGTACTATTACTAGGCTGTAGACATCATATTTACCTTGATTTCTAAAAATAATGATCCATTTTACCTAATTTGAGATGACTGAAAGAATCATAACTTTGCTGATACTGAAATTAACTTTTTAAAATTTAAAGAATGATATTTCCAAATACTATAAACCTTGTTGCCTTACTGAATTAAGGACAATGAATATAATTTATCTTTTCTAGGTGATTATCTGGCTAGGAATTCCAATACTACATTGAGTAAGAATGGTAAGAATGGGCATCCTTGTTCTGTTCCTAAAAGAAAGGTGGCTTTCTGTTCCATCATTGAGTATGATGTTAGCTGTGGGTTTGTCATATATGGCCTTTATTGTGTTGAGGTGTATGTTCCATCTATACTCATTTTATTTGGAGTTTTTGTCATAAATGGGCACTGAACTCGTTTTATTGGGAGTTTTGTTATAAATGGGTGCTGAATCTCAGCTGCTTTTCCTGCATCTATTGAAGTGTTCATGTACTTTTTATCCTTTATTTTGTTACTGTGCTGTATCACATTGATTGACTTGTGGATACTGAACCCCCTTTGCATCCCTGAAATAAGTCCCACTTGACTGTGGAACGTGACCCTTTTAATGTGTTGTATCTGACTTGCTAATCTTTGGTAAGGCTTATTGCAACAGTGTTCATCAGACGTACTGGCCTATAACTTTCGTGTGTGTGTTGTCTTTGGTTTTGGCATCAGGGTAATTTTGGCCTCATAAAGTGAGTTAGCAAGTGTCTCTTCCTCTTCACCTTTTTGGAAGCGTTTGAGAAGGATATATTAAATCTTTCATTATTTGGTAGAACTCATCTGTGAAGCTATATAGTTCTGAACTTTTGTTTATTGGGAGATTTTTTTTTATTACCCTTTCAATTTCTTTACTAGTGATTGACCTATTCATATTTTTTATTCAGTCTTGGGAGTTTGCATTTTTGTAGGAATTTATTGGGATATAGTTGTCATAATATTCTTTTATAATCTTTTATATTTCTGCAGTATTCATTATTGTTTCACATCTTCCATTTCTGATTTTGTCAGAGCTTGCTTTTTCTTTTTTTAGTGAGTCTAACTAAAGGTTTGTCAATTTTATTTATCTTTTCAAAGAATCAGCTCTTAATTTCATTGATCTTTTCTATTGTCTTTTTAGGTTTTATTTTATTTATTTCTGTTCTGACCTTTATTGTTTCCTCCTTCAGCTGACTCTGGGCTTGTTCTTCTTTTTCTAGTTCTGTTGTGTGTAAAGTTAGATTGTTTATTTGAGATTTTTTTTTCTTGTTTCTCGAGGCAGACCTGTTTTGCTAAAAAAATTCCCTCTAACTACCACTTTTGTTGCATCCTATAGATTTTAGTTTATTGTATTTTCATTTCCATTTTTCTCCAGATATTTTTAAATTTCTCCCTTGATTTTTTTGTTGACCCAATAGTTATTCAGTAACATGTTATTCAGTCTCCACATATTTGTAATTTTCCCAGCTTTCTTCTTGTAGTTGACTTCTAGTTTTATACCATTTTCACCAGAAAAGATGCTTGAAATAACTTTTATTCTCTTAAATTTGTTGAGGCTAACCTGTGACCTAGTATGTGGTTTATCCTAGAGAATGTTCTATGCATGCTTGAAAAGAATGTGTATTCTGATGCATTTGGATGGAATGTTTTGTATAAATCTATCAAGTCTATCTGGTCACTTATGGCCACTATTTGCTTATTGATTTTCTACCTGGATAAGCTATCCATTGATGCAAGTGGAGTGTTAAAGCACCCTACACTTATCACATTGCTGTAAATTTTCCCCTTTAGTTCTGGTAATAATTGCTTTATATTTTTTGCTCCTATGTTAAGTGCATACATATTAATAACTATTCTGTCTTATTGATGAATTTTTCCTTTTATCATTTACATACTGTCCATCTTTGTCTCCTATTACTTTTTTTTTTTGGCTTGAAGTTGATTTGTCTGATCTGATTATGGCTATACAGGCTTTTTTGTGGGGGGCTGCCTTTTTCTTGGAGTAATCATTTTCTATCCTTTCACTTTAAGCTCATGTTTGTCTTTAGAGCTGGGATGAGTCTTCCGAAGGGAATATATAGTTGGGTCTTGTTTTTTAATCCATCCAGCCACTCTGACTTTTGAGTGGTGAATTCAATCCATTTACAGTTTAGGTAATTATTAATAGATGAGGATTTAGTGTTGCCATTTTATCTTTTATTTTCTGTTTGCTCTATATCTCCATTGTTTCTTTTCCTTGGATTTCTGTCTGCTCTTTTGGTTCAGTAGTTTTCTATGATGTTTTTCTGCTTCTCTTTTTGCTATTATGTCATGTCTCTGCCTTGGATTTCCATTTTGTGGTTGCCATGAATCATGTATATAAAATGTATCACAGGTACAATAGTCCTTTTTTATTGATAGCATCTTTATTTGCCTATACAGGCTCTGTCCTTTTCCTTTTCCCCTTTTAATGTTTTTGTTGTCCTAAATTATACCTTTTTATGTTGTGAGTTTGTAATCAAACTGAAGTAGCTATAGTTTTTTTTTTTTGCTTTTTTCCCTTTCTCACTCAATTATGCTATAACGAAGTATTTAAAACTTATTCTGAAGGAGTTGCAATTTTCTAATTCTGTCTGTCTATTCATCTTGTTACTCAATGTTTTGCATACTTTTGAATTCTGGTTGTGGTAGAAGAGATCTTTTTCAACATTTCTTGTAAGGCAGGTCAATATTGAAGAATCTCCTCAGTTTATGTTTATCTGGGAAAGCATTTCTCTTTTATATCTGTATGATAACTTTGCTGGATAGAGTATTCTTGGGTGACAATTTTATGTTTCAGTATTTTGAGAATGTCATTACACTCCACTCTGTCCTGTAGAGTTTCCACTGAGGAATTATGTCATAGCCTAATGAAGTTTTCTTTGTAGGTTCTTTTTTCCCTTGCTGCCTTTAAAATTCTTTCCTTTTCATTGAATTTTCAGAGTTTTAATATAATATGTCCTAGTGAAGCTCTTTTTGCATTGTGGTAATTAGGTTTTCTTAGTTCAGTGGACTTGTATATCCAGTTCCTTCCCCAGGTATGAGGGGTTCTCAGCTATTGTTTCTTTAAATAAACTATCTGTTCCCTTCATGCTCTCTTTTCTTTCAGGGATAGACATTACCCTAATGTCGCCCTTCTTAAAAGAGTTGGAGTAGCTTTCACAGAATTTTCTCATTTTAAAAATATCTTATTTGTCTTTCCTTTTCTACTTACTTGTATTATTTCTCTATTTCTACCTTTGAGCTCACTTATTCTCTCTTCCATATGGTCTGCTCTGTTTCCAGTGGTTTCTAATGCAGTCATCATCTTGCTTATTGGGTTTTTCAGCTCCATAATTTATGTTTGGTTCTTTTTTAGAGCTTCAATCTCGTTGGTAAAGTGCTTCTTCTGCTTATAAATTCTGGGCTCATTGAACTGTCTTTCTGCATTTTCTTGTAGCTCACTGAGTTTCTTCCTGACAGTTATTTTTAATTCTCTATCCATTAGATCACAATATTCTGTGACTTTAAGTTTGGTTTCTGAAGAATTGTCACTTCTTTTTATACAGTGGCTCTTCATAGTGTTTGATGGCACCATGATTGACACATTTGAAGAAGGGAACACCTTTCTTCTTTAGGTAAAGCTTTTTTTCCCCCTACTTGATTCTAACGCTGCAACTGGTTAAAAATTAAGGAATATTCTTTTGCTTCTCACTCAGTTGTTGGCACACACTATAGCACAAGTGTTTGGTGTCTCTGCCTCTGGCTATAGTTGAGAATTGGCACTTTCCACCCTCCACTTCCTCCGTCAGCATTGTTGCCCAGTGCCCTTGATATCGCTGCTGTAACTCCAGGGTTGTTGGTGCCTTGTTGTGGCTGGTATCACTGGTGTCACTGCCTCTGCAGTGTCCAGGATCTCCTGAATCATAGGCTCTGTCACCAGAGGGGAAGTTGGGGGAATGGATCTAGGGTACTGGGCTCCCCTGCCATGTTTGGTGTTGCTGGGTTTGTGAGCTCTGTCACTGCAGGGAGGAGGTGGGGGACCAGAGTGTTGGGTGCCTCCACAGCTGGAGAAACAGGGTCACAGGCCCCCCGCCACTGCTGCCCAGTTATCTGTGGCCATGGGTGTTTCTATGGTCAGGAGTCATGTGTGCTGCCTCCCCTGCTGCCAGTGGGTTCTCTGGGGTTGTGGGCTCAGCTACTGTGGCAGTGGGGTTGGAATTGAAGGTGCTTCCTCCACTGTTTCCCTGGTTCTGCCACCTCTGTGTGTTCCAGCCCACCCACCTTTAGATTTGCAGATATGTGAAATGCTCTGGCATCCTGGTGTGTTGGGCATAGACACCTTTGTTGAGTTGCGGTGGTTTTATTGGCTGTAGTTGAATGGGAGAGACAAAGGGAGCATCGCACTCTAGTAAGATGCTGATATCACTTGCTGATTAACATTTATTTGAATAGAAAATATACATGGTATCTATATTTATCAATAGAGATAAGTGAATAATATATGTTTTCAATTTTATATAGTTTACAGAAGAATTTATTATAATTTATTTATTCTATATTTATGAATAAAAGAGATTTTATAAAAATATAAAACAGAATACATGCATGGCATATACTTAAAAATAGGAATTCCATGTCAGTTTGTTAAACCTTTATTTCAATTATTTGTATGGTTTTATATGTGTACCTATGTGCTGGGCCATATATACACTGTATTTCTTGCTATGGAATGATCCAACATTTGAAAGCCATTGCTCTTATATCACAGTGAACTGAGAAATAGAAGGATCTATACAACCAGCTGGAAAGGCCAGTATAAGAACAACCACACAGTGATAACCCCTCAGGTCCAGGCTATAATCGCTCTTTGATAGGCTCCTACTTTGTTGCCCTGTCTTTTCAGATTTACAGCCGGTCAGCAATCTCTTTTTAAAAAAACTTCTCCCATTTCTTATAACTGCTTGCAAGTCTGGGAATACCGGTCTTGGCCTCCAAGATATTTACAGCTCTGTCATCAGTTTGGAAGTTTTGTTGTCCCGTCTTTCAAATCTTTATTCTCCTTACTTAACTTAGAGCAACACTCTTCAGGAATAATGTGGGTCTCCTATTGCCCTGCTTATTCTAGTCCAGGATGAACCTGCATACACAAGTGGATCTCATGCTGTAATTTCCAATAAAGCAGATGGTTTGTTCTCACTATATTGTATAGAAGGAATTTATATTTATTTATCTTAGTGCATAGACAATTATGCTATCCTCTAAATCTGTAGTTCTTATTGTATCATTTCTTTTCTAGATAAGCTTTGTATAAGTTTTTGAAATTGAGAAAATAACATTTGAACTAATAAAGCTGAAATTGTCAGCAGAAAGATTTGTTTCTATAAAAATAAAACTATTAAAATAATAAAGACAAAAATGACTATAAATGAAAAGTAGGATATCTGTTTTCTATAAAAGACAGTATGAATAATAGAGATTCTTTTTTTTGTTGTTTAAGAAAAAAAAAACAATGTCCTAAAATAAAATGATTGTCAGAATAAGAAAGGAAAAAAATAGGACAATGGAAATAGTAAGTTATAGAAGGTTTATGAGAAGGAAATCTCTGAAAAGGAACTTTCATAGATGGTCGAGCTGGCTAAAATTAAAATGAATTTAATTTAAAAAATTAATATCAAGAGTCTATGGGTACAAAATTAGTTGGTTTCTCTCTGTCTCAAAGACAAATTTCTTTGCCTTTACTGTAAATCTGCTTGAAAAAACAATGATTCTGTATTTTGTCTTTATCGAGTCTTTGATTACTCTGAAAACTGAGCCTTTTTTTCAGGACAGGCCAAGATGGTGGAGTGGAGAAACTCATAGTTCACCCTCTCCCACAAATACACCAAGAATTACATTTACAAACCCATTAAATCACACAGAACACCTCCTGAACTCTGGCAGAGCATCTTTTGCATTGAAAAAAGGAGGATTCTTGCAAAATTTGGCAAGAAAGAAAAAGAAAAAGAAAAAAAAGAAAGAAAAAAATCAGTGCAGGACTGGTCCTGCTGGGAAGGAGCGGCATAGGAAGAAAGGAACCCTCATGCTGGGACTCCCCTTTCTCCAGCTGGGAGTTCAGCAGGTACAGAAGTGGAGATTCTGTGGCTTGGAGAAGAATGTAGTATCCGTTTGGCAGACAGAACTAAGGGAAACTGGCGTGGAGGGTCCCTGCAATCCCCAGCCCTAGATATGAGTTTGCAGGGACAAACTAGGACTGGATGCTGGAGATTGGTGAGGATCCCAGGCAGAGGGCAGGATCTCACTGCACAGAGGTGGCCTCAGGCGACTGGAGGGTGGCGTGAGCTCTGGCTGGGTATTATGTGTGGAAAAGAACAACCTGAGACCCCCACAAAAAAAGCACCAATGTTGGTGTGTGTGGTGGGGAGGGGTGCAATACAGCTGCACCGTAGACACTTTCACTGCTTGTCTCCATCGCTGGTGTGTCCTAGTGAGAAGAAAGGTGGGGGCTCAGTCATAGCAATCACTGCTGCACAGAGGCAGGGCTGAAAGCTGAATTCATACCCAAGGGCCCTGGAACTTCACAAACAGGACTGAGATTTTTTTTTTTACAGCCCCAGGCAGAGAGGGTGGATTTGCTGGACCCACACATCTGGAACTGACAGGCAGTGAGCTGATTCTGGAGCACCTCGGGTGAGTACAGGTATTTACAGCAGGCTGGCATAACATATGGTATGCAGAGGTGGGGCTGGGGTTTACACCGACCCTGTGGTGTACCACTAAATCAGGTGTCTGACTGCATGCTCGCTACAGCCAGGCCTAGCATGTGGCATTTGCTGATCTGCACTGGTGGTTCCTGGGGCTCAGAACCTGGAAGACACCAGAACAGGTGGCCGACATTCCCACAGCTAAGGCAGGGAGAAAGGCAGTGTCAACAAAAAGGACTTTGTAAACCCACATAACAAGTGACAGACAACCCCACAGAGGGCACTTCCAAGTGAACATCTCCTGCCTACTCTTCTTTCTACCTGAAGCACTCCAACCCTGCCTACCACACACCACAGCATAGAAACAGGTCTAGAAGTCCCATTCTAGCAACAGGGGAACAGACACAGCCCCTATCAAGGCTGTGTCAACCACAGAACAAAAAGGAGGCCCTGCTTAACAACAAGAATCAGGGTAGGCTCTGATCACCACAACACCAACTACACCCCCAATCAAAGGGATAACAGCCAACTCACATGAAAGAAAGATAGGGCAACCACTCAGACTAAGAACAGCCCTCACAGCAAAACTATTATACACACACAGCCTACACAGGAACACTCCCACTTTAAATAAAAACAAAACACAAAGAGCCCTTCAAGACCACAATAGATAACTGATACTTCTAAATCCACCCTAATGTTCATAGCAGCGCCATTTATGTAGTCAAGACATGGAAACAACCTAAGTGTCCACTGACAGATGACTGGATAAAGAAGCTGTAATATATTTATACAAGGGAATATTACTCAACCACAAATAATAATAAAATAATGCCATTTGTAGCAACATGGATGGACCTGGAGATTGTCATTCTAAGTGAAGTAAGCCAGAAAGAGAAAGAAAAATACCATATGATATCACTTATATTTGGAATCTTAAAACGGGACAGATCAATTTATTTACCAAACAGAAACAGACTCACAGACATAGAAAACAAACTTATGGTTACCAGGTCATGGAAGGAGGCGGGAAAGGATAAATTGGGAGTTCAACATTGGCAATACTAACTAATATATATATATGTACATATATATAATAGATAAACAAGTTCATACTGTATAGCTTTGGGAATTATATTCAATATCTTGTAGTATCTTATGGTGAAAAAGAATATGAAAATGATATATGTATATTCATATATGACTGAATTATTATGCTGTACATCAGAAATTGACACAACATTGTTAGTGGACTATACTTTAATAAAAATATATATATACAAAAAAAGAATAAAAATAAAGGTCATATATGTCAGGAAAAGAAAAAAAACAGTCTTTTGATATTAAAAGGGATAAAGCTTTTTGTTCCTATGTAAATTTTCATATTTGCCTTTGAAAATTTT